ATCGATAATTTTTACTTGGTTCGAAAACAGAAAGTTTTAAAGCAGAATTGCTGTTCAGCGCAAACTTCCTTAGTTGTTGTGTGAAAGGTATTACAGATAGATCAGTACTAAGCTGTTGTTTGTGTCGATAAATCGACAACTTGTGCGGTTCGCTAAGTCACCATGATTTCCCTTTTACGATGATTTAACCAAGCAAATTGGAAAACTCTGCATATCGTTTGCATCTATGGCATCTTCAACATCACGATATGCAGAGTTTCCTTTAAGTGGTAGATCAAGAGATTCAGATTTTAAAGAAGGAGACATGAATAAGTCAATTAGTGCATCAAAGAATAACAAATACGTCAACATTGTTACGGAGGAATACAGTTGCGTTCTTTACAGAAAGGAATATTAATGAGAAAATCATTGCGAGTTCCAATCTTCCATCTTCAAATTCCACAAATTATATTTTCATCTCTTGAAAACCCTTACCACATTTAAAGGTTGCTTAGAGAGTTCTTTTGGTTATTTGATATTCATTCCAATGTACTACAGTAGTGTTTTTTGTTGATGAGACATGTAATGCTGATATTCCTCGTGAGCGCACGTATGTCTTCATTACAATCGTCGCACATGTCAAGAATACGACGAAACATAGTGTACATGCTACTCTGTTACTACTGTGTTACTAGAAAATAGTAGGTGCACTATAGCGTGTCTTAGCGGGGGTGGGGTGCATGTTCGGCCGCGATGTCCACCCCAAGATAAAATTCGTGACTTTGATTATACGTAGGTATGAACATCCTAAAAGGGTATGCCTTTCTGGCAACAACAAAGACATTTCTTTGCATTATCTTACTTTTTCATACCTAATTTGGTAGTAAACAAATTGTGAGGTCATTAAGTTCGGATACCAGGAAGTCAGAAGGGCTAAAACTTCCCAGTGTCAGATAGCACACACGATATAAGGCAACCCAATAATTAAATGGATTGGATCACTCTCAAGGTTTCAAAGAGAAAATGAAGTTGATAAGATTGGATGAGTTCGCAGTGAAAATTTTAATGATCAAAACCTCTTTATTTATGCTGCCATTTTCCATCATTCTATGATAAAGTGATCACGCCGATCAAAATTTGCCTGACCGTGCTGGAAAGTCATTCCTACGATGTATCGCACATAGGTGATAATCGGCTGTTTTTGAAGTCCACCATAACAAACAGATTTCCTTTTGTTAAGTTAAGTACTCAAATAGGTAGCCAATTCATTTAGTATACATCATGATAACCCACTCCTGAATCTCCTGAAGCAAAATTTTAAAAAATGTAGGAACTCACAAAATCCAGCTTTCCCGAAGAATCGTCGTACTTGGGTTTATGCCAAGTTGAACGATCTGCGCTACCCACATGTGGTCAATTGCCTATACAATTATCGCCACGTCCCTTTGAAGGCTAGTCGCATGAAGTGTGTTTTAGAGATGGCCCAGTGATGACTGATCTGCAGTTTCTCCTAGCCTTCATATTGAAAGTTGCCTTATGAGGTTTTCCAAACACTTATTACGAGACATCTGTTTCGTGTAAACAAGTCAA